GATCCATAAGGAATATGGCACCCAGCAGATGTGGAGAGACTAAAAATTGTGTTGGGGATGTGCCAAAAGACACCAAAATTGGGGGATCTTGGTCATGGCTCAACGGGAGATCATGGGAGAGAGGATCCCTAAGGAATATGGCACCCGATGGATGTGGAGAGACTAAAAATTGGGTTGGGGACGCGCCAAAGGACGCCAAAATTGGGGGATCTTGGTCATGGCTCACTGGGAGATCACGGCAGAGAGGATCCATAAGGAATATGGCACCCAATGGATGTGGAGAGACTGAAAATTGGGTTGGGGATGTTCCAATGGACACCAAAATTGGGGGATCTTGGTCACGGCTCACTGGGAGATCATGGGAGAGAGGATCCCTAAGAAATGCGGCGCCGGTGGATGTGGGAAGACTAAAAATTGTGTTGGACACCAAAATTGGGGGATCTTGGTCATGGCTCAACGGGAGCTCATGGCAGCGAGGATTCCTAAGGAATTCGGCGCCGATGGATGTGGAAAGACTAAAAATTGGGTTGGGGACGTGCCAAAGGATGCCAAAATTGGGGGGGGTCTTGGTCATGGCTCACCGGGAGATCACGGGAGAGAGGATTCCTAAGGAATTCGGCGCCGATGGATGTGGAGAGACTAAAAATTGGGTTGGGGATGTGCCAAAAGACGCCAAAATTGGGGGATCTTGGTCATGGCTCAACGGGGACGTGCCGGGAGCTCGCGGGAGAGAGGATCCCTAAGGAATATGGCACCCAATGGATGTGGAGAGACAACCGAGGGAAAAATAGTTTGGAAATTTGTCTTCATTTTGATGTGAAAATCCAGGTTTTGGGGTGAAAATCCAGATTTTGATGTGAAAATCAAAATTTTGGGTGAAAATCCAGATTTCGGGTGAAAATCCAGATTTTAATGGGGAAAACCGGATTTTGGTGCGAAAATCCAAATTTGGTGTGAAAATCCAGGCTTTGGATGTGAAAATCCAGATTTTGATGGAAAAATCCGGATTTTGATGTGAAAATCCAGATTTTGGGGTGAAGATCCAGATTTTGATGTGATAAATCCAGATTTTGATGTGAAAATCCAGATTTTCGTGTGAAAATCCAATTCTGATGTGAAAATCCAGATTTTTGGGTGAAAATCCGGATTTTGGTGTGAAAATCCAGCTCGGGGTGGGCGGAGGCTCTGGCACAGGAATAAAGTTGAGCCCAAACTGAATTTTGATTTTTTGTGTTCCAACCTTGGTGATTTCCTGGCCCACAAATGTTTTCTTCTTCCTCAGGGATAAAAAAGACGGGCGCACGTTGGAGGCGAACGGTGAATTCGTGTTTGCTGCCGTTTCCTGGAGGGAAATAAAATGAAATAAAATAAAAAAATATATAAAATAAAATAATAAATAAAATAAGATAATAGAAATAAAATAATAAATAAAATAAGATAATAAAACAAAAAATAAAATAAAATAAAATAAAAGTATAAAATAAAATAAAATAAAATAAAATAATATAAAATAATAAATAAAATAAAATTAATAAATAAAATAAAATAAAATAAAAATAAAATAAAATAGTAAACAAAACAAAATAAAAATAAAATAAAATGGAAAACAAACCAAAACAAAAATAAATAAAATAAAATAAAATAAAATAAAATAAAATAAAATAATAAAATAAACAAGGAGGGGTGGGGGAAAAGACAGAAAAATATTTTGCGCAATAACCGAGACCGTCTGGTGGCAAAACCTGCGGGCTGTGGGCAGAAATTTAGAAAAAATCCACTTTTATTCAGTGAAAAAAATGTTGTTTAACGTCCTGGTGGGTGCTGGTGCTTTTCCCCTAAAATAAAATAAAAAAAATTAAAAATATATTTTAAAAATGGGTAAAAAAAAGAAAGAAAAAAGGGAAAATAAAATTTAACAAATTGCTTTTGAGTCCCCTTTTTAGTGGCGGGGGGGTGAGGGGTTTTTGGAACCCTGAGGGCTGAGGGGAAAAGGCGGGACCGCGCCATGGCTGCGGCCGCCATGACACCTCGCAGCAGGAAAAAAGGCAAAAAACGGCGTTTTTAACACCGCGACATGTCGCGACATAAACCGAACACCCCCAAAAATTCGCTAAAAATCCCCCTGAGGGGGTTTAAAAGCCAAAATTTCCCCGCGATAAGGATTAAAAGCTAAAATTTCCCCGCGATGGAGCAATGGCGGCTGGGTCACCTCACCTAAGATGGCGGCCGCGGCGTCAAGGTCAGGCGCCATCTTGAGGTGGGCAGCGCGGGCGGCAATGGGGAGGAAAAGGCCGCCGCCATTTTGCCTCGCGTCTTTCCCTGAAGGCGAGGCCGCCATTTTGGAAAAGGGCAGCTCCGCTCTCAGCCCGGGCAGCAGAGGGGAAACGTGAATAAAAGCAGAAAAATGTAAATAAAAGCAGAAAAATGTAAATAAAATCAGATAAATGCTGCTGATCCCTCCTCTCCGTCTGTCTCGTGGAGGAGGGATTGCTCCCAGTAGGGATATAAATCCCTAAATCCCCTAGGAAAGGGCTGGTGTTGGTTTTAAGATGGTTTTTGAGTAATTTTTTTTTCCCCCTGAATTCACCTTCCTGGAGGGGATTTTTAACAGTGGTGGGGACACGGCGGAGAAGCTGATGCTGTGGAAAACCCACTTGGAAAAGTTTCGTAGTAATAAAATGGTTATAAAAATAGTAATATAATTAGTTTAAAAAAATTTTAGTTAGGACAATTACAAGGCAATAAAAAGCAAAGAATTACGGATGTTCGGATGCTCTTGGACACTAAGTCACAAAAAGCGTCCCTTGTGAACAACAGCCTGTTGCATATTCATATATCCTTCGTGGTTATGCATAGGTTTTATTTAAAAACAAGAATTCTCCCTGTTGGATGTCAACTGTTTCCTTGAATTCCCAAAGAGTCTGAGCAAGGCCTGAAGAAATTCGCTTTTTCTGATTAAAAAAACCCCATAAATTCCTTTTCTCTGGAAGATTCAGGTGTTCCTCGAAGCCAGCATCTCATTCCTAAAATAAAACTCCCCTCCACATACATAATCTCTATTTTCACATTATGTCGGAACCTACAATTACATTTAACAGTCTAATTAAGAGAATTAATCCAGCATCGCTTTCTGACACCATAAGCATAACATGCATCGTAATATTTGCGAAAAAAACTGATAAAACACGCATTTTTCGCAGAAACGTTATTCAAATGGCGGAGGGACCCCCAAAACCCCTTTTTTTGGGGCTTAAAATTTGGCCATTTTTTTAACCCTTTAAGGCCCTATGGGGGCATCGCCCCCCCTTCCCAACAGCTCCTGTGGTTCTGCGCATGCGCGAAAGCGTCAGCCACGCATAGCCACGCCTCCTTTATATAGCGGCGCGCGGCGGCCACGCCCACTTAATGATATGCATACCAAGCCACGCCTCCTTTCGCGCGCTGCGCATGCGCAGTCCCGCCCCTCCTCCCTCCCCTCACCCCCTCAGTCGAGGCGGCGGCGGCGCGCGGGGCGGACGGAGCGCGCTGATTATTATTTTCTTTAATTCTTATTCTAAGCCCTCCATCGCCTCACCGCCGCCACGACCGGGACCGGCCCCGCCGCCTCGCCCCCCATGGAGGCTCCCGCCGCCCCTCCCGCCGCGCCGCCGGCGCCTTGCAGCGCCGCCCGCAGCCTGCAGGACGAGCTGACGTGCCCGGTGTGCCTGGAGTACTTCACCGACCCGGTGCTGGTGGCCGAGTGCGGCCACAACTTCTGCCGCGCCTGCGTCACGCAGTGCTGGGAGGACTCGGCGCGCCGCCTCTGCTGCCCTCAGTGCCGGGAGCCGGTCCCGCAGCGCCTCTTCCGCCCCAACCGCTCGCTCGGCAACATCGTCCACATCGTCCGCCAGCTCGGCCTGCCTCCCGGCCCCGCCGAGCCGGCGCCGCCCGCCGCCGCTTCTCCTTCTCCTCCTTCTCCTCCGCCGCCCGCCGCCGCTCCGCCGCCGGGCCCGCCGCGCTGCCCGAGGCACGGCGAGCCGCTGCGGCTTTACTGCGTGCAGGACCGGCGGGCCGTGTGCGTGGTGTGCCACCTGTCCCGCGAGCACCGCGCCCACACCGTGCTGCCCGCCGAGGAGGCGGCGCT